CTCCATTTCTTTTTAGAAAAAGTGGCAAACACCCGGGCACTCATTTCTCCACCAGCTCATGATCTGTCCATCCATCTCAGTGTGTGGCTGTGTTTGACCACTTTGAGCCCATCTCTCTGTCCTCTCTGGAGCAGGTAATGTGCAGCATGAAGCCATCTGGTTCCCCCTTTGATGTGGTCTACTAAAGGAAGTTTTTCCTACCCTGGGTCCTTTTATTCTCGCTATTCTGAATAGCAGTTTATCCTCAGGTGTGTTGTCAAGAACTTTTAAACATGCTGCTGTCCAGCCCCTCCTGAAAAAAACCTAACCTTGACCCCTCAGTCATGTCCAACTTCCGGCCTGTCTCCAGACTCCCATTCACCCCTAAACTACTGGAAAAAATTGTGGAGTCTCAGTTGAAACAGTTTTGGGGGGATCACGCTATCCTAGAGTTATTCCAATCTGGCTTCAAATCTCTCCATAGCACTGAAACTGCTCTACTGAAGGTTTTTAATGACATTTTCATATCCACAGACGCAGGTGATTCTGTGCTGCTTGTTCTATTGGACCTGACATCTGCTTTTGACACCATCAACCACAAGATCCTCATTTCTAGACTGGAGCAGTGGGTGGGCATCACAGGGTCGGCCCTTAAATGGTTTGGGTCCTACCTCTCTGACAGAACCTTCTGTGTCAATATCAAAGATTTTAGTTCGGCATCGACAGCGCTCCAGTGGGGGGTTCCGCAGGGGTCCATCCTCGGTCCCCTTCTCTTTTCTTTATACCTGCTGCCACTAGGTGCTATTTTCCGCAAACACAACATACCCTTTCATTTCTACGCCGATGATTGCCAAATTTACTTCCCCCTGAGGCACAGAGGCACACGCTCTATTCAGCCTCTTCTTGACTGCCTGGCTGACATCCGGGACTGGATGGCTTTAAACTTCTTAAGCTTCAATGAGAAGAAGTCTGAAGTCATGCTGTTCCATCCCAGTGGCTCACTCATGAACCATGACATTGACCTTTTCTCTCTAGCCCCGCTAGAGAAACAAAAGGTCACTAATCTGGGGGTGATAATGGACCCGTCCTTAAAACTCAACAGTCACGTAAACATGATGGTCAAATCCTGTTTTTTCAGCTGAGACGGCTGTCTAAGCTGAAACCTATACTCTCCAAAAAGAACCTTGAGACAGTGATCCACGCCTTCATAACATCTAGGCTTGATTACTGCAATTCACTTCTGTTTGGAATCAATCAGTCCTCCATTGCTCGTCTACAACTGGTCCAAAATGCTGCAGCCCGATTTTTAACTGGTACAGGCTATAGAGAGTACATCACGCCAGTTTTGGCCTCCCTGCACTGGCTACCCATTCACCTTCGGATCCAATTCAAAATTCTCATGTATGTTTTTAAATCACTGAACAGTTCCGCCCCATCCTATCTCACTGATCTTCTGCAGCCATATGTCCCACCGCGCTCTCTGAGGTCAGCAGACCTGATGCTTCTCTCAGTCCCAGAAACCCGTCGTAAGCTCAGAGGTGACAGGGCTTTCTCTGTTGCAGGTCCACATCTGTGGAATGAGTTGCCACTGAGTGTCCGGCAGGCTCCCACACTCTCAGTCTTTAAGTCTTGCTTGAAGACCCACTTCTATTCTCTTGCCTTTAACACGGTGTGATTTGTTTGGTCCTGTCTGTACTCTACACTGTTGGCCATTTTATTTAGCTTCTGCTGCTATTTGTATCTGTATTTTTATTTTATGTTTTCCTGTCCGCTGTGCATGTTTGTTTTCTTTTGTACAGCACTTTGGTTGGCCTTGTTGCTGTTTTAAGTGCTCTATAAATAAATTGGTATGGTATGGTATGAATAGACAAGGCTGATGAACAATGACATTGCCTCGAATAAAGCAAAGCAAAACCTTTCATTATTTCACCAAATAATCTAAGGTCAATAAAGTTCTGATCTTGATTAAACTGTCAAAGACACTAAAGCAAATGTTGCAGAAAAAGATCAACAGCATACATTAGTTATACAACTAATAAACAAGAACAGCTTTAAAAGACAGACACTTGCCTTTACATTGACATCAATCTGTAAAAAGATGAGGTTTTTGCTTTTGTATTCAAGGTCTTTATTTTTGTCTTCTTGTGTTTAGTTTGGTTCACATGCTCCATGTCTTGTTTCTTGTTTATGGTATATTTAAATGACAGTGCTGCAGCACCACCTACTGGCCTGACATAGTTACTGAAGAGTTTTGAGTCTTCTTTTTTTACGTGTTGATGAAAAACGTTTCTGAAAACTGAGCTGTCTTTGTGAGGAAAAATATTGTTTTGGAAAGTGTGTTCTCATGTAGACTGGGTCCAAGTTGTAGCAATGTATGTGTTTTCTGTGATCTAATATCTGTGGAGGCCATTTAGTTTTAAGATCATTTTTTATTTGAATATAAATTCTGTTCTTGAACCACCCTGTTAGATCTAAGTGAGGGGATAAAGTGACATTGTTCTGCAGGAGTCCCGTATCAGAGACTTGTTTAGTTTTGGAGGTTCAGCGCAGCCATCTGAGTCGCGCCAACAGCTAAGTGAGTGAGAAGACGAGTGAATGTTGAAGCCTCACTATTAATGGCCGCTAGCTTATCTGAAAGAGTGAAACACTGCAGCGATGCACTGTGAAGTGGTTATCTTCACTTCTGGAAATCTACAAACAGACCTGAAGCAGATGGTTCTGCTCTGACCCACTTTAAACCCTGTTGGTGGTCCAATGAAATAGAGTTGGTGGTCTAGTTGTTTTCCAGTTGGAGTTTGGCCCTCATCCGTGATGCTACACTACATCTACATCTCTCTGATCCTCTGTCATGCTCGGTTCATGAAGACTCGGCCCGCCTGGAGCGTTTCTAGCTTGGCACTACAAGCTGTCACGACACAATGCACCATACTCCTTCACTAAACAGCTTTGACTCCCCTGTAGTTCATTTTTCTGCTTGGACGAACAGAAAAGTTAACTGCTGAGGTGAAAATGAGGGAGCTACTCTCTGATGTTTGCCATAAAGAAGAAAGCCCAGATTCTTCTGTGAGAATTAGACGTGTTTAGTCACATGTACAAGGGCATGGTCTGAAGACAAATATGACCTAAACCGGCTCGGTGTCAAGAGAAGAAAGCCTCTTTTAAGGGTTCTCAGCGTTAAACATGAAATAGTGAGAGCTGTGCATTTAAATGCTTTAACAACATTGAGACAAATGGGTCCACTTGGTGCACAGCTGCCTGATTACTGCCTGAATGAAAAATCTACTGCTTTTTAATATGCATTGTTGAAATAAATCTTTATATTTCCATCCATCCATTATCTTTACCTGCTTCTTCCTTTTCGGACCGTGGGCGGTCACTGGTACCTAGTGGTGTAGTCTACATTTTTCTAGTGGGCATACCTGTACTGTGCTTAGAAGACAAAGTACACTGGTTAGTACAATGTAATTGTCAATTTATTTAGATTTTTAAGCGTATTGAACATTTCCAAATTTCTTTGATGCTTATATTTTAATAAATGTACAACAGACAGTACAACAGTTGGCTTTGTGTTAAAAACATGATGCAGAATTTATAGTATCAAAGAAAAACATGTTCAAGTATTAGGTAGGAAGTACAGAAGTATTGATGATACAATAATTTGCTGGATAAGCGAATGTAATAAAAAATGCTGCATATAGATAGATTGTTACAGAGGCTTTTAACTGCAGTTTAATGTATCAATGACACATGCCTAATGATATATCATGTATCATTGGGCACTTTTAAGTGGGTATACTGAAATTTTCAAGTTTTTCTAGTGGGTATATTCTGTAAAACCCACATATCACATAGACTACACCACTACTGGCGCCCATATCCAGTCATCACTGTGTGAGAGGTGGGGGACACCCTGGACAGGTCTCCAGTCCATCACAGGGACACATAGAGACAAACGAGACAAACAACCATTCACTCTCTCACTCACACCTAGAGACAATTTAGAGTTACCAATCAGCCTAACATGCATGTTTTTGGTTTGTGGGAGGAAACCGGAGTATCTGGAGGAAACTCACACATGCACGGAGAGAACATGCAAACTCCACCCAGAAAGGCCCGGGATTTGAACCAGGGCGACCTGCTCACTGAGAGGCAGCAGCTCTACCAACTGAGCCACTGTGCTGCTAACATTTAAATTAAACATTAATACTGTACTGTCATAAGGACTTGGAGTTTTTAGGCAGTGTGTTGTGACTGTAAAGATGTTAGGTTACTGACTCTAAAATAAGTCATAAACATTATGATTTATTTAGAGGTTGATATGTTGATACATTGGTTGAGACCACTCTGCCTGTACAGAAAAGTACTTTTCGTATTGTCTGATACTGTAAGACTTTTACACAAAAGTTTGATTCCAGGCTGTTTTATTATAATTATTTTTTTTCAACACTCTGGGGAAGTAGTGGCAGAGAAGGTAGAGAAGGTGGGCCTGTGATCGGAAGGTCACCCCTTCAACTCCACGGGCTCACAACATCAAAATGTGTGCATGAAAGGTGAAATACCCACACCTGCCTCCAGCCTCATTGCCCAACTCTGGGCCCTTGAGCAAGGCCTTCAACCCCCATCATCTGCTCCCCTGGGTGCCCTAGATAGCAGCTCTCTGCTGCACACAGAGGGCTGTGGTAGCTCAGTGGTCTGTGGTTGTGTCAGGAAGGACATCCGGTGTAAAAAAAAAGGAACAATTGTCAAGTCTTCATGCAAATAAGTTTGATGTGGTGACCCCTGAAGAAAGGAGCAGCCGAAAGGAAAAAACTTTTTTTAATTCTCTGATGTTGGAGTGAAATCAGAGCAGCTTCTATAACTTCAAGAACCTCTTGAAGACTCATCATTTCAGAAAACATCCTCTAACTCCACTGCACCCTGACATGAACATGTTTTTATTTTAAACTTGTTTTGGTTCACATTTATTCTGCTTTTATTGTTTTTTTTTTCTATATTTGACCAAGAAACGTTTCCCTTTTTAGGTTCTTTGTCAACTTCCCATCTGCTAAGCAGTATTTCAGCCAGTTTCGAGAGATGGAAGATCCTGAGGAGATGGAGCAAAGCAGCCAGCTTCGACAGCACGCCTGCAGAGTGATGAACGCCCTCAACACTGTGGTGGAGAACCTCAACGACCCGGAGAAGGTGTCGTCGGTGCTGGCTCTGGTGGGGAAGGCCCACGCTCTCAAACACAAAGTGGAACCCATTTACTTTAAGGTAACATTAAGGAACTGTGTTTTCCTGTGTTTTATACAAACACAGGGGCGTGGTTCAGCAAACTGTCACTTTGACTTGTATTTGTTTTACAACCCTTTTTAAAAAGTGTCTTTACAACATTGATAGATTTGTGCTTCAGGAGCAAATTTATTTACTACAAATCCTTAAAGAAATATTATTATACCAATCCGATATAAAAGGAATATTACACTTTAATTTATTGAAATACTCAAGCACAACTGTCCAGTTTTGCTCTCATTTGTTCAACATGTCAGCATGTTATATGTGGAAACTGACACCCAAGATTTTGTGAAGGCAACAATTTTTAATGTGAAACACAAACATTAAGACAAATTAAGGTCCAAGAGCCAACAGTGACACTCTCCGTCAAGACGGATGTCCTCAAATAAGAGAGAGAGAGAAATCTTGAAAAAAATAATAAAGAAAATTAACATTTTAATAATGAATCTTAGGGGCTCAGTTAATAGAGCTCTCAGCGATCAGGTCGCTGGATCTGATCTGGTTGGAGTTAGTATGTTCTCTCCATGCATGCGTGGGTTTTCTCCAGGTACTCCGGTTTCCTCCCACAGACCAAAAACATGCATGCTAGGCTGACTGGTAACTCTAAATTGTCTCTAGGTGTGAGTGAGAGAGTGAATGATTGTTTGTCTCGTTTGTCTTTATGTGTCCCTGTGATGGACTGGAGACCTGTCCAGGGTGTACTCCACTGTGGGAAGCTGTATTTTGTTCTATTTTGATCCTTGTGTTTCCTGCACGCCCCAGTGTTTTTCCTCATTGTTGTCAGCTCCTGTCTCCAGCCCTGATCACCCCAGGTGTTTGTCATTTTGTCTTGTCAGCCTCCTTTAAAATTATGTCTCTCTGTGTTCCTCCGTTGTCCGTGGAATGTACTCCCAAGCCTGTCATGCTCTGTTCCTCCCGTCATTTCCTCCAAGTAAGTTTTGGCTGCCCCGTCAGCTTTTGTTTTGTTTTAATAAATACAAATTATTTATTTGAACCTTGGAGTCTCCCGTTGCCTGCCTGTATGTGGGCTCAGTACTTAAAACACAGATCATGTCCCCACCTGTCGCACATTGATTTCTGGATATGGGCACCAGTGACCCCTGTAACCTGAAAAGGAAGAAGTGGGTAAAGATGATGGGTGGGTGAATAAAACTTGAAATAAAATTGAGTTGAAAATTAATATCTTGGATGTTTAAATGTAAAGTTCTGAACTAAAATAACCCCCCTTTTTTGTTGCAAAGGTATTATGGTCAACGTGCTGACACATTCAAACTTTAAAATGTGTGTGTGTTAATTGTTACAGCCCTTTTTGACATGCTGCAAAGGTCACTTGGAACAATATGGTCTTTATTATAAAATTGTAACTTGGTGTTGCAAGCTTTGTACATTTGAAATTGTAATTTAAAAAATTTCAGAGAGCAAAGAGAAGGAAGCTGAAACTGGATCTACTTTTTTAACCTTCTTCAGAACTCTGAGCAGCATTTTGGATCCACTGAAGACTTTTTATTAGAAAGTTTTTAAGTTGTTGAATTTAATAGGAACAAGAAAATGGAGGAATCTGTTTCATTGTTGCCTTTTCTAACTGATTTCAGTTCTATATTACCTAATGTTCTATTTTTTTTTTTAAATAAAATGCATGGTAAGACATGAAACATGTTGTCATCTGCAAACTCTTTTTTTTTTTTGCATCTGTTGGTACCATACAGGTAATGGATGATCTTCATTTAACTCTGAGCCCCAAAACTATTTTAATTTTCTCACTTCAGCTGAGAGCAGTTTAAAAAAAAATTCATATATATTTTTTCAGGTTCCACAGTTTTGATATCTACAGCGCTTTGGTTAAAAGTTGCATTGATAAAAGTCATATGTTTTAAATATTTGGAGGTGTAGGGAAGTTCTCCTTTTTCAAGCCTCAGTTGACCAAGCAGGTGAATCTGCAGCTGAGTGACAGCAGCTCCTTAACATCTTCTAAATGTTTGTGCAGAAGAAGCAGCGCTTATCAAAATGTGTTGTTGTGTCAGGTGTGAGCTGTTCTTCATTGTCAAACCTCTCAGGTACATTTCTGGCTCGTCTGTAGCATGCATCGTACCAACCACAGCGTCTTACATTACCAAGGTGTCAGAGAGCAGTCTGGGGAGGGTCTCAGGAAACAGTGGGGCAACTATTGAAGCAACTTCCAGTTTCATTTTCTCTGGAAACACAAAGAGGACTGATGATATTTCTCTGTCTTTGTTATTTTTGGCTTGTAGGCATTTTAAGAAACAAACAAACAAAAAACACAGGCACTTATAAAAGTGTGGATCTGAGGAAGTTGGAGTGATCTGAAGGCCAGCAGCTCATTAATGCAATTTATTAATCGTCAGTAAGGACGTTTGGCAAACGGTGTGGAGAGCTGCAGCAGCCTGGTGCCGGCCTTCCTCAGGGCTCGGTTGATGCCCAGCTGAGAGAAGAGTTGGAAATGAGACCAAGAGACCAAACACGGGGAAACGATAAGCGTCTCCAAGGCCAAATCCCCAGTTATCAAAATAAATAAATGAATAAATACCTTCGCTGCACCCCACCACAAACCAGAAGAAAACTAAGCAAAGAAAAACAAAGGTACAAAACTTGTATCATGAGACATCCATCCATCCATACTTCCATCCATCCATCCATTATCTTTACCCGCTTCTTCCATTTTAGGTCACGGGGGTCACTGGTGCCCATATCCAGCGATCACTATGTGAGAAGCGGGTACACCATGGACAAGTCTCCAGTCCATCACAGGGTCACATAGACAAATGAGTCAAACAACCATCCACTCTCTTTTTCACACCAAAAGACAATTTAGAGTTACCAATCAGCCTAACATGCATGTTTTTGGTCTGTGGGAGGAAACCAGAGTACCTAGAGAAAACCCACGCATGCACGGAGAGAACATGAAAACTCCACACAGAGAGGTCCCCGGCCAGGATTCTATCCAGCGACCTTCTTGCTGAGAGGTGGCAACTCTACCAACTGAGCCACTGTGCCACCTATAGTGAGAAATAAACTCTTTAAAATAAAATGAAAGAAGTAAACACTGACAATCCCAGCAACACTTATAACTGCAGGTCCCAACAATCCTATATAAATATAAACACACCCAATTCTAAAATACCACTCACTGAAGAAGCACTTGAATATCACAGGTGAACACGTGATTTTCATGTTCTGCACGTTTCATTGGTGAAACATTTTTACCACTTTCATGTGATTCATGTTTAATCACATTCAATTCAATTCAGTTTATTTATATAGCACCAAATCACAACAAAGTTATCTCAGGGCACTTTACAGGAACATTCACATCCATAGAAAGCTATTTAGTAAAGTTCTCTATCTAAGGAAGCATGAGGTCACATGTTAGAAACATGATAAATTCAGATAGTTCCTCTGTAAAAGACTAAACGGAACCTTCTACAGAACATTGGCACTCATATGTTTGTCAACAACACGTAAGAATAAATTGTGCTTTTCAGCAAAACACCAAATTCTTCAAACCTTCAACAAATTATGGGCGTTTCACGTAAACGCTGGGTCTTAACCAACCACAGTCATAAAACCCCAAACCAAGAAAATACCTGTAAGTTTAGTCAACTTATATTCAGATTGTTCTATATTAAAAGTTGAATTGTTTTGGATGTGAGCAGGATTTTTACCATGAATGGAGATCAGTTTCCACAGAAGACTGGTGTTTGTTATAAAATCCTGTTCTAAAATGAAGAGAATCAATCATTTAATGAGTCTTTCTTAGAGATTTTAAATCATGTAAACACTGGCTCAGACATTACACATCTCAAAGATGATCATACAATATGTGTTGGAAGCAATATGTGGTGTTGCATCATTTATATGTGAGAGGATGTGTCCCCCTCACATTTAAAAAATATTTGTTTGGACCCCCCCCCCCCCCCCCCCACACACACACACACACACACACTTTTACCATGAAACTAGCTCACCCAGAGCTCTTTCTATTTCTTTGTGAATTAATCCATTCAACTTTATTCATAGAATACTCAAACCACTAAAAGTCCACTCCAGGTTTTCCTGGTTACCTACAACAACTCATGCAGTGTTTCTCCGAGGTCACTTACCTTGGCAGGATGCTCATCTCTTCTGGAGTTTTTGTCGACGGGGCGGGGGGAGGTGGGGGGAGACACCTCTGAGTTGCGCACTATCTTAGCGCTACGTTATTGCCAACAGTTGTTGACCAGGGTGGGGCTAGAATGCATGAGAGAAGTGGAGCGTGCTCTATCCACACAAGGAGAGCTGTTGGTCAGGCTACTTCTTGTTGTTCCATTAACGCTAAAATAGTTATTGAATGAAGTGTTTACTTATGTAGGTAAACATTGATGTCAAACAATGGGGTGGATTTTTAACAAACAGTGAGAAATAAACTGTAACAAACAAAGACTAGATTGATCTGTGTCCAAGTTTTTTATTCGAAGGCAATTACAGCGTTCGAAGACTCTCAGCTTGTTAGGCAAAAGAGAGAGCCCTGATATGAAGTTACATTTTTCCTTTATACATTTCTGACATCACATGAAACTCGTCAGGAAGTGTTTCTCCTCCCTCATGTCATACAGAAGACTAAACACCTGTTGTAATTAGACAAAGCAAGACAGGAGAGTCAAAGCTCTCCTTCTTCCCAGGCTCTTATCAGGAAGCAGAAGGATCCAAACTTGCTAATGAGGAGAAAAGCTCTATCAGTCACAAAGAATAAATCAAAGAACATCTTCACTTCGCACGCAAAGGAAAAAGGTTGAAGAGAGTTTAAACTAGAGTGAAAAACGATACATAATATGAATCATATGTGTTCTTACTACAAAGTACAATATTTTATATTTCTATTAAAACAACCGCTCAAAATGAGAAGGGGTCCTCTGCAAACCAAAAGTGGGCGGACATTTGTAGGGGGACAAACACTGATTGACAGCTGTATTTGCTGCTCTTTAGGTAAGTTACGTCAGCTCTTTTTTAAAACTGAAGGTTTCTAAGAACCAGCGTTATATCTACTGTCAAACACAAGAAGATTTTCTTGTTCTTGGTTGTAGGCCGCACCTGACACAGGTTTCCTTGAGTGAGGTCTGGGTACAATGAAATATGAAGCATCTGTAGCAAAACCTGCTCCTATTCGTCCTAAAGCCAGTTTAAACATCATTACTATTTTGGTTACTTTATTTTTCTTTATTTATCAATTGATTTTAACTATTTTCACATTATTCAACAACAAAAATGGATTTTGTTTTTAATGTAATGGCTAGGTATTCAAAAACAAACATTTAGCCCTCTCCACTACCCATTTATGTTGCTCTTATTTTGAAATGTAACCGGAAGTTCTGTGTTAGGAGAGGCGGAAAGAAGTTATGGAGACGTCGCCAATGTTGAACCCGAGATACCGCTAATGTCGAATCGGTTAACACCATAGACATAATATGTCTGTGGTTAACACAAACGGCTTTTTTTCGTTCAGCCCCTTTTTTTTTGTCCAATCAGATGTGGCCCTCCAGACACGCCCATTTTTTATCCGCCAATCAGATGTGGCCCTCCAGACACGCCCATTTTTATATCGTCCAATCAGATGTGGCCCTCCAGACACGCCCATTTTCTATCGTCCAATCAGATGTGGCCTCTAGACACGCCCATTTTTATATCGTCCAATCAGATGTGCCCCCCCAGATACGCCTTCCGAATTTGTCTGCAGAGATACTTACTCGGTCGAAATACACCAAAATGCACCTACGTTATTCAAAATTTTCTGGGCGAGGACCCCCAGAACCCCCTCCAGTGTGTCCCCACTACCTTACAAATGATTCTGATGCTAGTGGTTGGAAGACAAATTAAATCCATGGTTACATTTTTCTCTTATAATCATCAATCGTATGCATGTGCCAAATATCGTGTTTCCACGTTTCTGTTGGTGACCAAAGCTGAAAACATGTTCGACCTTCCGTTGAAGAAGCTTCTGCTCCTTCTGCTCCCCAGATCCTGAGCGGCGTGATCCTGGAGGTTTTGTCTGAAGATTACCCAGAATGCTTCACTGCTGAGGTACAGTTGGTGTGGACCAAACTGATGGGGGCGCTGTACTGGCACGTGACGGGGGCCTACACAGAGGTGGGCTGGCTCCAGGTCTCCAGCTCGGCCGTGTGAAGAATTGGAAAAACGGCTCAAAGTTGTTATTTCACAAAAGAAGCAAATCGATGTGTGTGAGGAGAAAAATGTGGTTAAAGAGTTGCAAAGAGGTCAAATACATCAAATCAACACATTCATCCACAGATCAGTTGGACACCAAATCTAGCTAGGCACGACTTCCTCGTCTGAGATTTTGTACGTGGTGTTTTCATGTGTTTTAGCAGACGAGGCCATTGTTTCCAAAGCTGACAACATTGCTCTTCTTTTAGTGAATTTTGTTGCTGATAGAAGTAGAATCCTGACTTCAGGGGGATTTTTGATGAAAGAACCGTCAAAAGCTTAAAGTAAACAACTCTAAAAGCTTTAAGTAGCTCTTCTTCAGCTCTGTCATCTGGCACGCTAAGCTTAATTTGTGCTTTACAATGTAAACGTACAATTCTTAGTGTCTTTTCCGAATCTTGTTTTAAAGGTAAGCTGGTGTGGGTCCTGTTTTATTTGAGCAGATTTTGTTTAACAGGTTAAATTGTCACACATTAAAGAACAGACTCTTGAAAATTGCATTAAATAAACACTTTCTAAAATGCTGATTGAGCATAGGAGGATAACTGGTCCCTGTCATACGGGGAAACTCTGGCTTCTTAAGTTTCAGCATGAATAAGTTTTTACAGTGATCTGACATGCAATCAAAAATAAATCAGATTAAGCATCAACTACTGAAACAATATTGAGTCTTGTTAAGAAGGCTGCATGTAGGAGACCTATCAAGGGACAAATACTTAAAAAAATCTATCTCTTAGTTAATACTTAACTCTAAACACTTTAGTCATCTATTAAACTCCCGCTCAGTGCTGTTTAAAGAGGTCTTCATTTTAATAAATCATATAGAAAACACACATAGCAGTGGTAAAGAAAGTTCTAGTTCACACTTTACTGCATGTCACACCGAAATGGTGGATAAATTTTATTTGTCCGAAACGTGCGCGTAAACTAAAACTTCTCAACTGTCAGATTCATTAGAGCTTCAACTTGTTGCTTCATTACAATAATTACATATAACACACATACAAATATGAGCTGTCTACTCACTAAAAGGCTAATTTGGTTCCTCTGACGAGCAGTTTCTGTGCAGTGGCTTTAGGTCATCAGTATCTTACCTGCAGCAGACAGTAAATGATCCAAAAGTCAGTCCAACAGATGCAGTAGTCCCTCGTTTATCGCGGAGGAGCCGTACCCTCAAGCCCATGTTGAGTGAAAAGACCGCAAAGTAGGAATAGTAGTACAAGTAGTAAATAGTCGTTTATTTTAGTATATATATATACACAATACTATACATATATATTTATATATATATATATAAAGGTGATTTGAACCCTTCCCACACTCTTGCAATATTCTAAACAATGTTTCAAAACTCTAAATGCTCTAAAATGCTCTCTTGGGGCGGCTGTGGCTGAGTGGTTAGAGCAGTCGTCCTCCAATGCGAGAGTTGGGGGTTCGAATCCACCAGCAGTCAAAAGTCAAAGTGTCCGTGGGCAAGACACTGAACCCCTCACAGCCTCTGATGTGTGTCCCATCAGTGTATGAATGTGATTTAAAGCACTGATTAGTCTCTTTAGAATGATTTGTTCAATTAGCTTTGTAGAGATCTAGTATAGAGCTGTATGAATGGGTAAATGAGGCACAGATTGTAGTGTAAAGCGCTTTGAGTATCTTGAAATAAGATAGAAAGGCGCTATATAAGTACAGTCCATTTACCATTTACCATCTAAAAGAGCACAGAATGTCATGATTTCCCTCTCTCCGCCTCTGCTGTTCTTAGCCACCTAAAACAGTTCTTGGCCACACCCATTTCTTTGCTCTGCACGGAGAACAGCTGATCAGCTGCTGGAGGAAGCTTATCCTACAGTGTGAGCCGCACAGAGGTGCAGCAGGTGCTAAATAATTTAAAATATGCCGATGGTGCAGCTCATCCATCAATCAGCCAATAGTGCGTCATGTCCAATCTTATTTTGAAAAACCGAGATAGAGCGAGTCCGCAATAAACGATCAGCGGAGTAGCGAGGGACTGCTGTACTCCAATGTCTGAGACAACTTAAACACTTTATAAATCGAGAACGTCCTGTAGATAACGTTGGAAGTTAAAGTCACGTTTCATCAAATCTCTCTGCTGCAGGGAACCAAAAGTTAACAGTTCTGCAGTAATTTGTTAAAATGATAAAAGTGTTTCAAGTTTGAATATTTAGTGTCTACGTGTTGTAGATAACCATTTGAACGAACTTGGATGGGAGAAATAAAGTTAATTCTGACAGGCCATTTTTAGTACTTTCACTTTGTTGTCCATGTGGCATTTTAAGGTTATTCATAAAGATTAATGTGATCCTTTTCAGACAGAAGTGCAGTGCTAGCAGCTGCCTGTAGCGCCTCCCGTGCAGCCCAGTGGCACTTTGAGCAGGAATGTAATTTTTTTTCCAAAACCAAAAAAGGAATGCAAAACAGACCATCACATAAACCGCTCTGATGTTTTGAGATATTTCATAATTACTTCTTCCAAAATATCAGTAAATATGAAACTGACTGTTTTTAAAATATTTAAACAACATTCACACAAAATGTTGCAAATTAGAAGACTGATTTTATTAATTCATGTTTTAAAACAGAACATTTACTTTTGGAAGTGGGTCCACTTGGACAAGCCTTTATTTGTTTATAATACATTTCATTTACAATTCTATTTAAATAAAGTTTTGAGAAACGGATATAAAAGTGTTAAAACATTTGCTTGAGTTGTTTTAAGACAATGATTCTTATTTAAACTATCCACTAGCTTGACAGTCCAGACAGTCTTACTCTTCTTCTCCAAACTGATACTGAAGAAGACATCTGCAGCAGGTAAGATATTGATTGTTCATAACCTTACCACAGAAAATATCTAAACTACCCCTTTAGATGAGGCGCATATGAACCCTTAGCGGGCCTGTTGCTAAAATTGCTAAGTTAAATAAACGTTGAACCTCTAAGTGAACTCTTTACGTTCGATCCAGAAGCCAACCGGAGTACAAAGAGATATTTGTACATAAAAGCGTTGCATATCGTTGAGTTTATTTTTGTGGATGTCTGACTGAAGCGCCTTTAGGCCACACACAGAAAAACACCTCACGATGAACTGAAAAAAGAAAAAGTTTTGATTTCAGCTACTAAACGAGGGCTGCTGGTTGCTGAAGTCCCAGCTTCAGGACCGTGGAGGTGCAGACTGTTAACAGATCCTTTTTGTGTCCTAACGCAGTACACCCTTGTGTTTACGGGATCTTCATCCCTCTCTATACTTCACTGTCATGTTTAGCGTAACACAAGTGTATCTGTAAAAGTAAACAGTGGATAAATGTGTATATTCTGACTCTGCAGCTCTCACATGCTGGTGTATTGACGTGCTGAAGAGGATGGTTGTTGCTTTTTGTTATACAGTACGCTTCTTATTTCACTGCATACTCCAACAATGTAAAAGAGAGGGGATTGTCAGCAGGTGGGCTCGATCAGCAGACACTCACAAAGAGGCACACAGCCAGACGTCTCCCATACTAATATTTACAGGACCGTCAGGTAGTTTACTTCCTGGAAAGCTCGTTGAAGACACGTTGCTTTACAGGCTGCATTAAGAGCTTTAGAACTTCAGAGGTTCCTGAAAAGCAGGACAACCATCTGTTTAAGTTTTCAGTCTGCCACATGAAATGAAAACTCTACTTTTCCCTCAGCTAACCTCACAGCCTCTGAGCAGTCCCCATCTGTGAATCTTGCTCCATCCATTCCCGAACGGCAAATCAGTTTAGGATGGACATCTGATCCAGTCTGCAGTTTGCATCTGCTCCGGTGACGTCCTGCATCTCATCTGACCTCAGTCCGCAACGACATCTGGCATTAATAAGGAGCTAATGAGACTCCTGTCCTCCTCGGTGGCTCGTTTATCTGCTGCAAACTTCCTATTGTCTCTGCTGGGATCGTTCACCTGAGAGCAAAAACAATTACGAGCGGACGGATGGTTTCAGATGTGCTGTCAGCCGTTCAGAACGACGCTGAGCAGAAACATCCATCCAGATAAAGCTGATGTAAACAGTCAAGAATAAATATCAGAGACTAAATCATTTATTTAAGGCTCTAATTGAAGCATCGCCACTGTTTATTAGAACAAAGGTTAATAGACGTTTGTTCAGGTTTATCTTCAGAAGCTGAAAAAGCAAACCTTGCTGTTTTCATGAACAAGAAATCCCCCCAAAAGAGTGTTTTTTAAAAGTGGTCGCTTCTCTGAAGTTTATTAAGTGAACCTTGACCAAGCTGGAAGAGGTTTTACACACAAAAGTGTCAACGTTTTATTTACAGCAAATCAAACAGAGGAAATGCTCTAAATTTTACACAATTTTTAATTAAACACTACTCATTTCAAAACAAAAATGGTTGTCCCGAACTATACCAAAAGGAGAGTTATTTGAGAGTTAACTTCGGTAGTTTCCAGATATATTCTAGATCAGATGTGGGCAACTTAAGGACCGAGGGACAAAAGTGGCTCTTGGACAATCTCCATCAGGCCCCCAACATCCTTAGTTTAAAAAAACACTTATACAAAAAATAAAAAGAAAGATTAAAAAAATACAGCAATTTATCTATGAGATTTAAGGAAATTTAAACTAAACATCTTAGACGAAACTTGAAAAAAATATTTTTAAGTCATTGTGTTAACCAGACTGAAACTTAAAGACTTAGAAACACAAACATATGTTTGTTTTGCATATTTCCACTAACATGTGTAACATGTTAAGAAAATGTGTATAATATGTTAAACTAATGTGTATAACATGTTAAGCTAACGTGTATAACGTTAAGCTAGCATTATAACAGGTAAAGCTAATGTGTATAACATGTTAAACTAATGCGTATAACATGTTAAACTAACATGTATAACATGTTAAACTTATCTGTATAACATGTTATGGTAACATGTATAACATGTTAAACTAACGTGTATAACATGTTAACCTAACATGTATAACATGTTAAACTAATCTGTGTAACATGTTAAACTAACGTGTATAACTTTAAGCTAACGTGTATAACATGTTAAACTAACGTGTATAACATGTTAAAC